TGCCAAAATCAATCAAATTCACCCCAACATCAAGTTCACCATGGAACTAGAATCTTCCATGTCTATTAATTTTCTAGATCTCACTATTACCAGATTAAATGACCACTTCGACTTCAGTATCTATAGGAAACCTACACAGACTGATCACATAATTCCATTCTCATCCAACCACCCCATGTCGCATAAATACGCAGCTTTTCATAGTTACATCCATCGCCTAGTAACCATTCCACTCTCAGACTTAAATTACAAAAAAGAACTAAACATACTTAAGCAAATAGCAGTCAACAATGGATATGACCATAACATTATCAATAAACTCATCCGTAAAAAACGCCTTAAGACCCTGCAGGAGACTGCTTTCCCCAGAGACCTTGTTACCAAGCCCAATTATGTTTCACTCCCATATTATCAAGAAAGTCTTTCTGGAGATATTCGAAATCTCATCCAACGTTCGGTCGAAAATATCCATGTGTCATTTAAAGTACCCTACAATTTGGGTCAACACATTTCTAATTCCAAAGATCCCATCAATTATATGGATCGGAGTGGAGTATATAGATTAAAATGTTCAGATTGCAATGCCTCCTACATAGGTAGGACATGCAGATCATTATCCTCACGTTCTCTAGAACACATAAAAAGGGAAAATACTTCCACCTTCTCCCAACATCTCAAAGAACATAACCATACCCTCAATATCCCAGAAGACGTTTCACTTATCCACAACATCCCCCAAAAAAACTTCCTTAAATTAGATTTATATGAAGATCTTGAAATTTTAAAAGAAAAACAAAAAAGCCCAAATTGTGTCAATCGTCATGTATCCTTTAATCGAGACTTCCTTCCTCTTCATCGCCAACTGTTCTCATAATTTTTCACCACTAAGTTACCTCTCAACTAAAATTCACATTTATCAATAAACTTCAGTCCATTCCAAAACTTTTACTTCAACTTAACACACTCTTCAGCTCTTCCCTCTTCTATTCATTAAACCAAACTTCAAGTCTAAACCTCTTTATCTATTACTGTCCATGCTTCTTGTTAGCCCCCCCAAAAAATCTCAAACTACTCAGCAACCCTTTCTGACAAACATTTCAGTCCCCTTCTTACATTTTCTCACATCTTCCGTAGGGTTTGGTAGCGGACCTCTGGTGATCTCAGCTTTCTGCAGTGGTCCAGTATCCCACCATCCATTCAAAACAACCATAAATTTCTTTCTTATTCAATTTAAACATAGCTATCTATTAATCTTTCAAGTTAAGTCCAGTACACAACGCAGACAGATTCAACTTATTCATTAAAAATTTTTTCATGTACCTAGTGTTGTCTTATAACAGATAGGGCCTTTTTAAGTTATAATTCGAGTTCTGTATGAAAAACATAATACATAATCACATCTCAACCTTCAAATTTTGTTAATTTCACACATTATTTAAACGAACACCTTAAGATCCTCATATCCATTTTGAATAATATCCAATCACACAACTTATTCTTCTGCAAAGATGACACTGCAAAAAACTTTTTAGTTTCACTTAATATCAACAAAGCCAACCATACCATCATCACACTTTGAGACAACTTATACCTTCAACAAACCTAACTTATAACTTATTCTTTTTATTTCTCTTGTGCCTAGTGTTGCCTTATGACAGATAGGACCTTTCTTAAGTTATAAGCAGATTACCACACTTTCAACATACTACATAATCATGTTCCAACCATCAAAATAAAATCTTTCGTTCATTACATACAATAGTTAATACAATAAAACTTCTACACCTTTTAGTCTGTTACTACCTTATCAGACATTTATGTTCATGAACTTATTACTCAAAATAAATTTTCACATTTGCTAGGTACCAAATGTTGCTTATGACATACAGGACCTCTATATTTGAGTTGAAAGTTAAATAACATGTGAACATTCACTAAAACAGTTTTATTTTATTCAAACAAGAACACCTCCAATTATAAACAAATATATTTAGATCCAACCATTAACATCAATATTTTCTATAATTCAACCTTCAACATGTGTCTAGTTTATATTTTCTGGGTACCAAATGTTTAAGTAACATAAAGGGCCATATAATTAAAAATATTTCTATATTTCATTACTACATACATGCATAGTTGGTTGCCTAACTACAACCATAAAAATTTTGCCCCCTTATATCATCTCAATTTCATAAATTAAAAACTACAACTTTGATGGTTGATACTGTTATATTAATGTACTTAATTCTCACAATTTTAAATAATGTTGGCTTTTGTCTTAAGTAGAAACATACAGCTACATTGACTGCTCTGTGATTATTTCCGTCATAACTTAATTATATTGTCATCAAATGTCATTGCCAATCAGTTGCACTCACATAGTCCTCGAAGACATACCGTCTCAGGACTAGCAACTTCAACGTGGAGTCATATGTCGCCATGTTACCAAATCCATCGGTAACTCTGTAATCTTATATTATTTCAACATTAATTTAAAACTAAATGTAATTAAACATATGTAATCGGGTTTTTACCCACATATTTAATCTTGGTGGCTTCATTCATGTACCCCTAGTAAGTATTAACCACATTGCTCTTTAACCTTAGTCAAAATTTTAACCTATGTTCTTTTTAATTAAGTGGTTAACTATTTTCTAGGACACTGATGATGGAACATGGTTTCCGAAAACGTTTTGTCTTTTTAACTTAGCCCGTTTGGGCCTAAAATATACCTTTTACAAAGGATTTTTAATTAAATTTTTAATACATGGTATACAGCCAACTACAGGAACGTAGATTCCTTGTGGACTATCATCATTTCTTTGGCGGTTTTTGCATCTTTTATAATATCTAAATGTTTATCTATCACATATTGAATTATAATGGATTTTGCTTTTGAATCGTCATCTGTAAATTTTTCTCTCTGTATTGGTTTTAAACTTTCAATCACTGGTAATACTTTCTTTTTATTTAGTAGGATCTTGATACGAAACTTCCAACTATTAAAATTCTCTCCTGTGAGAATAAGAAATTGTCGACAGTAAACATCTTCCAAGTAAATCACGTTTTCTTGATTTATACTTTACTTATTTGTCAAGGAGTCAGCTGGACCCATAACCTTTACAATATATAGTTTATAAATGACAAAATTAGTATATTATTATTGGATTATTTCTTTATTATTTAGAACAACATGTTACAACCATCTTGTCTTGCTTACAATTATTATAGTCGTAGACTTTGACTTAAGTCATAAGTACACTGTAGCCAACCTACACTATTGTACCAACCTATACTTAACGCATAGTTCTCTGTGCTCATTATCCCAGGAATGTTTGCATATCTGAGATCTGTCATAGTCTGTGTTGTTAATGTATGATTTATGCTAATGCAAACACTTAATGGTCTTGAGATTTCTCCTAGATGAATGTTGTTGCACTCATAAGGTAATTTGTAAATGTGTTCTTTGATCTCTCCGAAGTGTTGCTGTATTTGGTTTTGAACTATTGTAATACAAAAATATTATCTACGGAAGACCTCCTCCCTCAGAAAAATACATTTTTAAATGTCTTTATACTTGGTTTCAATACTTTTTATAACTATTCGACCGTAAACCCTTTCTCGTTAGCTTAACACTAGTTCCCCTATATTTTCCACAATGTTTTTCATTTCTTTTTTAAATATTACTCTAGTATAAGATAAATCATATTCCATTCCTCTGAAATACGCTGTCGTTCTATTAGACACTATTAAATAATTCTTCTACTATTTTAAGAAGGCTATAGGTGCCATATTCTATAAGCTCAACGGGTATGTTTCCAGGTCCACCTGCCTTTCTATTTTTTGTTTCTTTTAATGTGTTTTTATTATATTTTATTGTACTGTTATTGGATTTACATCGTTAATAATTATGTTTATCTGTATACAATTTTTCTGTTGTTTATATTCAGATCTATTTTCAGTACGTAATTTTTTGTACTGGTCTTCCACTTTCTCATAGTGGTCCTATTCATATTTTATTGGGCATTATTTTTTATCCTGGCTCTTTTTGATACCTCGTTTTTTTTTTCATTAGCCATTTTATTTTATCTGCCCACCATTCTGAGTCTTGTCTTTCTTTTTATTTCTTGGTCTACAGGTGTTCTTTTTCCCGGGGAAACCTGTAACCCCTAGAGAACGCGTCGCCAGGTGGCGGATAAGGTTTTAGAATTTAGTATGGGGAGGATTAGAGGATCCCGACTCAGTTACCGGTGGGTAGAAGGGAAATAAAACACCTCTTGTGGATCAACAGATAATTCACGGAATGATTGCCGGTATAAGCAATCCCCAACCCACTCCGTAACGATTCAATGTTTTATTTATTTTGTACATTTAATTCAGAAAGCAGTAACGTTTATGCAATCCTGTTTAAGGTTTTTTAAAAATACTCAAAGAAAGACACTTGGTGTCTCTTAGAATGCAATAAACAAAGTTTAAATATTTATTTTATTCAGCCCAAATTGCCTTGGTTAATCTTTTCTGTGTATACTTATCCCATTAGATTTTTAGGAATTGCAATTTATAATTTTAAACGCGAAAACATACGTATTTGTTTACAATAAGAATCGTAAGGAATGTTTCTTCAGAGAGTCACTTTTTGGCGTATGAGCGATTGTTTTGTTTGAGTGTTTGAAAACATTTATCTTTGGAGATCAATTGTATCTTTGGTCAGTAGTATTAGTTACAGTATGCAGTCAAAATAGTACGAGGTAAATCAAAAGTAAAGATTAATTTAGGGCAGATTGAGTTATCTTTAATTGTAGTGGACATTGACAAACACGCACACAAGTCACTGTAAATTTTTACTTTTTTTATGTATCCTGCAACAGCACACAATAAATATGCGTAATAATTTCGTTTGGTGGTCAATATGAAGAAGGAAACATCTCATTATTTTTATTTTTCTTCTACATTTACCCAGTGCAGTGTAGGCTTAGTGTTTTTTGAAGGGGTCTTCTTCAGCCTGTATTCGTCCACTACTGGACATAGGCCTCTTCCATTTGCTTTGATTGATTTCTATGGCAATTCTCATCCACTGCTTGCTCGCGACTTGTTTGATATCATCTGCCTACCTCTTCTGTGGTCTGCCTACTCCTCGCCTGTTCTCTCTTGGCCTCCAGCTTGTTAATCTCTGTGTCCATTTTTCGTGATTATCTCGGGAAACATGTCTGACCCATTGCCACTTAAGCCTTGCTATACGTTCTGCGACATCAGTAATCTTTGTTCTTTCACGAATGTCGATATTTCGAATCCTGTCTCTCAAACTAATCCCTAGCATGTCCCTCTCCATCGCTCTTTGGGTTGTAATGAGCTGTTCTAAGCCATGGTCTCTAGTCCATATGTAGTTACAGGCAAGATACTTTTGACATAAACTTGTAACGGGTAGCTCTTTCAGGACGACAGACTCAGTAAAACACAGGTTAAAATAAAAATATGTCTATTGATCTAATATATGTACAATATATATGAAAATAAAATAAATAAATCCTGTGCCGTAGAAATTAACTCTGCGCTCCGTCTGGATCCCGCGATGAATGAATCCCCGGCGGACGCCTATAAAAGAAAGAAAATAATTATTAATAACAAATAAAATAGGTGTAGTCAATCGCACTCAGACGTATATTCGCTTCCGCTTCAAACCAGCGGGAGCTGCGAACACACTCGTCAACTACAAAATCGCTTATGCAGGTCCGCGATAAAGTTCAAGACACGATATCGGTAGACTTTGCTTAATTATGGACGGAGCATGAACTTCAAAGCAGAACTACCTCCGTCCGGGTGGGCTCGCCAGTTCAGGACACTGGCGAAGAGAGGAGCCTAAGGCGCTAAGCCAAAGACTGAATAAATGCCGCTATTCATATGCCTTAAATAGTTGCTCTGAACCCCACTCACATCGTGCTAAGGAGGTGGAAGCGCCAACGCTGACACTCCTACGGTTCAAGCTGTTGAACGGTGATGACATCGTTACACCCCCTTCTCTTTGGAAAAAAAAAAAAGTAGCATACCTTTTTTTTTGTATATGGCGTCTACAGCCTTGTAATGCCATTTATCCCTCTTGGAATCTTTATTACGATCTTCTTCCTGTTGTTGCAGTACAATCTGTATCTTTTGGTCCCCCTCTCTATTAGGTGTTGTGGGACGATCTCTACAAGATCGGCGTGTCTCCCGGGTTCTGGTTCGCCTGGAGTGGATGCCGACTGTGCTTCAGGTCCGGTTATCGTATCGGGTACGCTTTTCTTCTTCGGTGGTGTTGGTGGTGTCCCAAACAGTTCGTGGAATCTTTTCAACATTCTCTCTGCGTCTTTTCCTGGTGTCACGGGCAGTTCGGGTTTCTCTGGCGTTCCCAGAGGGGTCATCTGTTCTGGTATCTCTAGTATGTCTTCCATGTTAGATGTGGATGAACTGAATTTTGCTTGCTAGCACCGCTCTTTAAATACCGTTTGGTTGTGGTGGGGATTCGATTTGCGTAATGACATTTTCCCCCACCCAAGGTTTTAAATCTTTTACGTGTGCCGTTATCTGCTTGCGGGTATTTCTATCGGCCAATTTCAGTTTTACTATTACCGGTGATATTACTGACGTTACTACGTATGGCCCTGAGTACTTCGGCGCTAGTTTGCTGGTGAAACCTGCACTCGCCGACGATAGATGGTGTTCCTTTTTCATGACTCGATCTCCTGGATGTGGTCGCCAGTCTCTTCGTCTTAGATCGTAATGTTTCTTTTGGTCCTCGAAAGCGTGTTCCATGTGCACTTTCGCCAGTTCTCTTAACGCTTCTAACTTGTTCAAGTTTTCTGCATACCCCTGTATATCTTGTCCACTTGTCGCCTCTGTTGTGTCTAATTCTCTTCCGAAATTAAGCAGCGCTGGTGAAAACCCTGTTGAATCGTGTCTTGACGAATTTACGGCGTAGCAGAATTCTGGTATGAATTTGTCCCAGTCTTTATGGTTATCTTCTACGTATGTGGCTATCATCGTTTTCAGTACTTTGTTCATTCGTTCCACTGGATTGCCTTGAGGTGAGTACGGCGGTGTTAGAATGTGATTTATGTTATAGGACTTTAGGAACGCCTTAAAATTGCTGCTTGTGAACTGCGCGCCGTTGTCCGAAATGATTTTCGTCGGGATGCCGAACTGCATAATTACCTTCGATCGTAAAGTGTCGATGATGGAGTTCGTAGATGCTGCTCTTATTGGCTGGGCAACGACCCATTTGGTAAACCGGTCTTGCGCGACTATTAAGAAAATGTTTCCTTTTGCAGATCTTGGGAATGGTCCCATTAAATCAACTGAGACAGTATGCCAAGGCTTTTCTACAGTGGACGGTTGCATTTTCCCGGCTGGTTGCATTTGAGACGGTTTATATTGGAGGCACTTCGTACAAGCTCTAACGTAGTCTGCGATTTGTTTAAACATCTTAGGCCAATAGTACTTTTCGCTATTCGGCAAATTGTTTTTGCAATTCCTAAATGGCCTGCTGTGGTCGAGTCATGATTTTCCTCCAAAATATCTTTCCTTTTATATCTTGGTACGCATAACTTCCATGGGTTATTAAACTCTGGGTCGGCTAAATTACGGCTGCTCCAAATGTGTTTATATAACTTCCCGTTTGTTATTTGTAGATCCGGGAAATCGTCTGGGTTCTGGAGTACATTTCTATATAAATTATCGTACCAACTGCATGATTCCAATTCTGATGCTAATAATTCCAACTCTGGTTCTTCGCTCTGGTTTTCCTGTGGTTGTCGTGACAAAGCATCTGCTACCTTGTTGAGGACTCCCTTTCTATATATTACCTCAAAATCGTACTGTTGCAGTTCTAAACTCCACCTGGCTAATCGACCTGACGGGTTTTTAAGGTTCTTCAGCCATTTGAGGGACTGATGGTCTGATATGACCTTAAAATTGTATCCTTCTATATATGGCCTCATTTGCTTTATCCCGTATACGATGGATAGACATTCTTTTTCCGTTGTGGAATATTTTGTCTCGGCCGGTGTGAGGGTTCGACTAGCATATGCGATTACTTTATCCTGGCCGTCGTACTTCTGTGTTAGTGCGACTCCAAGTCCGCAGTTCGACGCATCTGTTTGCAGGTAAAATGTTTTTGAAAAATCGGGGCATGCTAATACTGGGGCCGATGTAAGTTTTGATTTTAGCTCTTCAAACGCGTTTTCTTGCTTATCGGTCCATTTCCATCTTATCTTCTTCTTCAGAAGCATGTTTAGCGGTCCTGCTATTGTCGAATAGTTCTCTATGAATCGGCGGTACCATGATGTTATTCCTAGAAACCGGCGGAGTTGACGCACATTTCTCGGTGCTGTAAGTCCGGTTATAGCGTTGGTTTTCTCCGGGTCAGTTTTTATTCCTTCTGCTCCAACCACATGTCCTAAGTATCTGAGTTCTGACTGGCAAAACGTGCATTTTTCAAAGTTCAGCTGTAACTTGGCTTCTTTCAGTCTTCGGAAGACTTCCTGTAGGTGATTTAAATGCTCTTGGAGCGTTTTAGATATTACTACGATATCATCCAAGTAGGCAAACGCGAATTCCATATCAGGAGGTATTACCTTGTCCAGTAGGCGTTGGAAAGTGGCTCCTGCGGAATGCAGTCCAAATGGGGTGGTTTTGAACTGAAAATGGCCTTTTCCGGGTACGCTGAATGCTGTCACTGGGCGGCTAGTTTCTTCTAGGGGTATTTGAAAATATCCCTGTTTCAAATCGAGGGTTGATATAAAATTTGCTTCCTTAAGTCTATCCAGAATTTCCGATATTCTGGGTAACGGATATGCGTCCTTATCTGATAGTTCGTTGACTTTTCTAAAGTCAATGCAAAACCTGTACGAGTTATTTTTTTTCCTAACTAGTACAATCGGTGAACTCCAACCACTTGTGGAGGGTTCGATGGTTCCTTCTTTTAACATCTTGTCTACTTCTTGGTTGATGATCTGCAGCATTGCGGGATTGTGTCGTCTATAAGGCTGTTTGACTGGATCGCATTTTGTCTTCAATTTTATTTCGTGTTCTATTAAGTTAGTGGGTCCTGTTATGTTCTCAAACTCCCTTAGTTCTTTTCTTAGAAACCTTTCTAGCTCTGTATTTTTGGTGGAGTCTTTTAAAGTATTACATGCCTCTTCTTGATGTTGTACGAATTGTTTGCTCGTATGTTTATCGAATTTAAGTTCGATAGAATGGTTCCTAAGGAATTCCACTCCTAGTAAGGCATCTTCCGTCAACCCTGGCATTACTATGAATGTTTGTCGGGTTTGTAACCTATCGATCTCGCATTCAATCGTCAACTTCTGGTTAAGCTCCATTGACGCTCCATTTGCTAGTCTTGTTCTCCCGCTGTAGCTATCTAGAGAGTCTTTGTATGTCTTAGCTATTCTATCCCCGACGTAATTTTTAGTGGTTCCTGTGTCGATGAGCGCTCTGTATGTTCTTTGCCCTATTTTCAGCGATGCGAATAGCCGAATGTCATTGCTTGCTGGCTGTGTAACGGCGAAAACGAATGGAGTCGAATCTTGCTTTACAGACTGGGACGACTCCTTGTTTCTCCAGTCTGTAGTTCGTTTCCCTGACGCCTAAAACAGCAGTCGCTACTGTAAACCCCTTCTCTGCCGCAACGCGAACAAAACTTTTTCCACGGGTTTTTGCAGTTTTTACGGATGTGACCTGGCATCTTGCATCTAAAGCATGTCGTTTTGGCATCGTACTCTGCTTGGTCCGTGCGTCTCCAGTTTCCACGGCAACTCTGATTTGATCGGTTCTTTTCGTCTTCTAAAGCTTCGTATTCTTGAGCTAAATCTTGTAATTCGGCTAAGTTTTCAAAATCTCGGCGGCGAGCATAAAGCTTATATTCTGGTAACAGATTTTTGTATATCCTTTCGAGTTCTTGGTTTCTGGAAAACGATCCTTCTCGTCTGGTTAGTGTTTGAATCTCCGTGATATATCTATCTACCGGCTCATTTTGTCTCTGTTTTCTGTTTCGGATTTGCTCCTCTAGTTGCAGCAAATATCCTCTGGGATAGAAAGCTTTTTTAAAATCTTCGCTGAAATCTGCCCATGATTTCCAATTTTTGTTATTGTTTCTGTACCATAACAAAGCGTGGTCTCCTAATAACTCTGGTAATGCTCTTAATAGATCTTGTTTATCGATCTCGTAGGCCAAGCTTAATTCGTCTATCCTCTCTAAGAATCCTATTGCATCCGAATGTTTCTTGTCGAAGTGTGTGTTCCACCTTCGTACTTGATTTAGCAATTCTGATTGCCCCATTTGTTTCGCTATTGTTAATTCTTGTAATTGTCTTCGGATGCCCGAAATTTCCTGGGCCAGTGTGTCGGATTCTGTTCCCTTGGAAGTTTTTTCTTTTTGCATTGCTCCTGTCGCTTCCTCGCGATTTTTAAAATATATCCTGAGTCGTACTCTCAATTCGTCGACGGTTCCCTTGGAATCTAAGCCGAATTTTTCGGCCTCGCTCTGCAATTCCTCTTTGCAAAGTCGGTTTATCCAGGATGTACCTGTTACTGAGTCTGTGTCCTTATCTGTCGGCATGTTACTAAATTTTTTTTTTTTTTTAGTAACTTTCCAATCCTCAATTTTTCTCGGGCGCCAATTTGTAACGGGTAGCTCTTTCAGGACGACAGACTCAGTAAAACACAGGTTAAAATAAAAATATGTCTATTGATCTAATATATGTACAATATATATGAAAATAAAATAAAATAAATCCTGTGCCGTAGAAATTAACTCTGCGCTCCGTCTGGATCCCGCGATGAATGAATCCCCGGCGGACGCCTATAAAAGAAAGAAAATAATTATTAATAACAAATAAAATAGGTGTAGTCAATCGCACTCAGACGTATATTCGCTTCCGCTTCAAACCAGCGGGAGCTGCGAACACACTCGTCAACTACAAAATCGCTTATGCAGGTCCGCGATAAAGTTCAAGACACGATATCGGTAGACTTTGCTTAATTATGGACGGAGCATGAACTTCAAAGCAGAACTACCTCCGTCCGGGTGGGCTCGCCAGTTCAGGACACTGGCGAAGAGAGGAGCCTAAGGCGCTAAGCCAAAGACTGAATAAATGCCGCTATTCATATGCCTTAAATAGTTGCTCTGAACCCCACTCACATCGTGCTAAGGAGGTGGAAGCGCCAACGCTGACACTCCTACGGTTCAAGCTGTTGAACGGTGATGACATCGTTACAAACTCTACGTTTTAGACACATTGGTATATCTGTATTCTTTAAGATAAAGCTTAACTTGCCGAAAGCTACCCAAGACAATTGTATGCGTTCGGCTATTTGGTTTTCTTTGCCAATTTTAATTGTATGTCCAAGATATATACAGTGCTCTACATTTCCAAGACTGACGTTGTCAATAACAATATTAGTTTGTAAATTACACATTATTTTTGTTTTCTGAAGGTTCATTTTAAGACCTATTTTATTTGACTGCTGATTTAATTTCTTGAGCATTTGCTCCAGTTCCGTGATATCTGTATTAAATAATACTATGTCGTCCGCAAACCTTAAATGACTCAAACGTACATCATCAATGTTTAGACCTTTTTGCTCTCAGTCGAGCTGTTTGAATATGTTTTTCCACATTCCACATTTTGATGTGGAATGTGGCCTGTTCATAAATGTTTTTAATAAGTGTAGTGTACCGTAAGTCTATTCGAGCATTCCTCAGGGCTGACAAAAAGATCAAAGTTTAAATGCTATCGAAAGTTCTGTGAAAGTCAATAAATGCCAAATGTAGAGGTACATTATATTTTGTGGTTTTTTCAACCAGTGTTCTCATGGTTTGTAAGTGATCGTTAGTACCAAACCTTTTTCTATACCCCTCCTGTTCAACCGGTTGATATAGATACAGTTTTGTGTTATGCGGTTGGTTATTATTCTTTTTAGCAATTTGTATAAGTTTGACAACAAACTTATAGGTCTGTAGTTTTAAATATTAGTAGTGTCTCCTTTCTTGTGTTAAATTATTATTTCGGCGTTTTCCCACAGACTGGCTATTCTTTTTTCTGTTAGAACTTAGTCAACAAAACTTCCACATCCTCTACAACGATATTGCCGTCCATTTTTAACATTTCAGACGTTATACGATCCTCACAGGAGCTTTTTTATTTTTTATTTGCTGTAAGGCATGTATAATTTCTGAAGTTATTTTAGGGAGAGTTTCCGAGCCAATGTTTAGAATGGTTATATGGTCTGTTCCGGGATTCTGTACAGTAGAAGGGTTTGAATATAGTAGTTTGAAGGTTTACATCCCGTAATTTTTCACCATCATTTAATTTGTATTTGTTTGTTGATTTTAAGAACCGAAAAAACTAAATATCATGATATAATTATAGCCATTGCAGCAAGACATAATAACATGGATATCACAGAAACAATATTAGCGGATGACCTTGCCATTATGGGAGAATACTTTCGCAAATGGAGGCTACGGCCCAATGCAACGAAAACCGAAGTGTGCTGTTTCCATCTGAATAATGCCCAAGCCAACAAAAAACTCTCCATCCACTTCGAAAACAGACTGCTCACTCATAACTCAACACCAAAATATCTTGGAGTGACTCTGGACAGAACATTGAGTTTTAAAGAACATCTTCAAAGAACGACAGCAAAGCTGGAAACGAGAAATAATATAGTCCAAAAGCTATGTGTGTCACTACATGGGGGTCCTCAGCCTCCGTACTCAGATCATCCGCTCTCGGACTTGTATACTCGGTGGCTGAATATGCTTCCCCGGTATGGCTCAATAGCAAACACACAAAGATTATTGACACTCAATTAAACCAGACAATGCGAATGATCTCAGGTACAATTAGACCTACACCGAACTATTGGCTTCCCATTCTGAGTCACATTCCACCGCCAAAACTGCGAAGAAGTCATTTTCTTCTCAGAGAATATCGAAAAATTGAGGCTAACCATCAACTACCCATACACCAAGATAAGCTTGATATCGAAATAAACAGACTGCGCTCCAGATATCCTCCATTGCTAAGAGCCAACTCCTTACATCAGGGACATTTCAACCTGACCAAAGCTTGGAGAACACAATGGGAGAGCGACTCACCACAGGAAGCACATCAAATGGCCTGTATCGATCAGAAACCGCCGGGCTTTGAACTAACCCGCAATACATGGACAACGCTAAACAATAAGAACAAGCAGCGGTAGATGTGCTGACAGCTTATATAGATGGGGAAAAGCCCTTACTCCTGAGTGTGACTGTGGTGCGCAACGACAGACTGTCCGTCACATTGTTGAAGAATGTCCCCGAAGGCGATTCCCTGGAGTTTTCAATGAGTTCTTGAATGCGACCGAAAATGTTTTACATTATATTAATAATACATTAGATGTTCGTTTGTAATACTTCATGTAACGTTTTATATTGATTTTTTAATTGTGTGTTCTTATTGTATGCCATACGATAAATAAATATGACCCAGGTAAATTTTTAATTTAAATTTTTCATTTTTTTTTAATAACATTTAATATTATGATCATTTTTAATTGTTCTTACCAGGTCATCGGCAAAAATTTATGTTAAACTTTTTCTAAAGATGTAAGAAAGAATGAAATTGTAATGGACGTTTTGATTGTAACATATAAATTAATATGTCCAGTTAAATCTATGTTTCGTCGTTACTTTTCTCTTGTACTACAGGTGTGGTCAATTTGATTGTCTTCGTTAGTTCCTGGATTTTCTCCGTTCCTTTATGGATATATTTTCTCTATAAGACATGGAGAGGTTATTTAGTTCTAATTACAATACCACAGCATCATAATAATTACGATTTTAAATAATCTGCAAATAATAGCACATTGCAGTCATGAAAACAGTTGGTAATATCATTAATGAAAAGATTAAAAAGTAATGGACTCAAGTGGAACTCCCTAGGTACACCCGACTTCATCGGTTCGATGTTCTTTGGTTTTATAGTGTTGGATACACAACAAAAAACGAACAAAACTTATGCAATTTATGTATGTACTATCTATCAATATTAGAAATTTAAAATAAATATACAATTTTTTAACGTATACCAAATCCAATGTTGAATTTTTTTTTTGTAATTTGTGTTAAAATAAAAGAAATAAAAAGTATTTCAATAATGGCAATATCATTCTAAAGTCGCTTACTTTTAAATGTATAGTATATGTCTGAATTGTCAATATTAATAAGTCAGATAAAATTAAAAGTTTTAGAAGTAACAAAAACTAAAAATTTGTTAATGGTTTGTATTTTGGGAACGATTTCCGCCAATAAACTTATTTTAAAATTAAATTGTAGCTTATTCTCAATTAAAATAGGAATTGTTTAAGATGCCACAAGAAAATAGATTCAGAACAATATTAAGTATTTCAATCTTTCAACGTTCTTGTTTCAACTGGCGGGTCAATAAAGCAAAGCAGAAATTAAACAAAATCAAAATTATAATTTTACTGTTTATTTCAATATAAAATACTCTTAAATAAGGACATTTATTTTATTACTTAAAATATCTATAGTACCATAAGTCTCGGCGCTATATTCATCGACATTAGTTCTTGGAACAGTAATTTCGCTGCATAAGGCAGTCTAACTTGCGATATTTGCGTCTTATTTTTGCAACCCTTACATTCAAACGTGTTGTTCCGCAAATTGGCAATAGCTATCAAACCACAAAAGTTGCAAATATGGATTCTATAAGGGTCAGAAACTTCAAACAGCCTCTCTCTTAAGAATTGTGCCGCACCATGCGAAATCTGGCAATCTCGTTCCATCTCACCGAAACGCAGACCTCCGTCTCTTGCACGACCCTCCATAGGCTGTCTTACGAGAATCTGCAATGGTCCTCTAGCTCTGGAATGGATCTTATCGTCCACCATGTGCTTCAATCTTTGATAGTAAGTGGGCCCTAAGAAAATTTGAGCGTTTATCTTACGTCCCGTATGGCCATTATACATTACTTCGTTGCCTCTGAGTTGATAGCCATATTCTTGTAGCAAAGTGGAGATTTTCTGTACGTTTACGGCATCGTTGAAAGGTGTAGCATCACCGATTTCTCCTTTATTGGATGATACCTTACCCTGGATGCACTCGATCAAGTGACCAATCGTCATACGGGAGGGGATAGCGTGAGGATTGATGATAATGTCTGGAGTAATACCTTCAGCACTAAAAATCATATCCTGCAAAAAAATAACTATAAGAATAATAATAAGGAAAAAAATTATTAATAGAAATAAGTTAATCTTTTATTTAAGCATGAGTTAGCTTTGTCATGATAGCAAAAATAGATTCATAAAAGCAAAAATACAATACATTCAGGCATCAAACCTCCAAAAATCTTTTCTTGACATAACAATGAAAAGACCTTCTCCAATGTAATAAAAATTATAGTAACTTTAACTGATTTCCGGGCGAGGATTATTTCAGAGCAACGCCGTTAAAGGTTAGAAAAATTAGAATAGGGTCTTGGAAGTCTTACAGGTAAGAGTATGGAGTTGATAAATGCGTTTAAAAGAAGGAAAGTACAAATTACTTGCCTTCAAGAGACTAGGTGGAAAGGACAAAGGGATCTAGGTGAAGGATACAAATTGTGGTATATAAGGAAAATAACACTAGGAAGGACTGTAAAGTAATAGTTAGCGAGCTGTAAGCCAACAACATAAGTTGTGGACATCGAAGTAAAAAAACAAAAGTAAACCAAAATATCGCAGATGACCACAAATAATCAAGCGGTGGATGTTAAAATATGAGAAAGGAGGTCTATTCAGGTCAAAAATAGTAAAAAAAATGTGTTAGAACATGAAAGAAAGTCGTAATACTCTTTGGAGGAAGATGACCAGTATCAATAGTACTGCTACTGAAACACTTCGAAAAAGCTCAGGAAATAAGTTTAAGAATAAAGAGTGCCCTCATCATCATCATCACGTAGCGCTACAACCCTAGGTGGGTCTTGGATGACTGTACAACTTTTTTCCACTTTGTTCGGTCTTCCATCAACCTAGGGTCAAATGGAATGTTCATTTTCCGGAGATCTGCTTGGATGTTATCTCTCCATCTGGGACGCCCGAGTGGTCTTTTGCCTGTGGGAATCCTCAGGCAAAAGACCTCAAAAGAGTGTCCTGGTGAAGGCGAAACGAAGTTCAAGCAAAAATAAAGGAAAAGAGTGACTTATTAAGAGTTAATTGTTCACCAATGCTTCTACAAAAAAACTTATGATGAATTAATAGAAAGATATTTTCAGCAAGACTGGGCTCAAATTCATACAACGCTGCAAAATTTGAATTTTATTATGGACTTTTTCGACAATAGGTCATAAGTTTCCCGCTCGATCATGTGATTTGGCTCCCTACAATTTCTTTCTGTGGTCACATTTTAAAAAATCGATTTTTAAAACTACTGTAGCGGATTTGGAAGATCTTACACAAAGAATACAGAATCATATTAATTAAATAATACTCCGTGGATCCTAAACAATGTTATAGACTCGATGAGAAAAAGAGTTGTGTTATGTAGAGATGTTAGTGGTGGACATATACAGCACCTTCTTTGATTTTATTTATTATTTTTACTTACAATTTTGTTAATTTTTTTTATTTTTGAGTAAAAATCTGTGTTAAAAGTTTTGGGCTAATTTTTACATTGGTAATCAAAATTAATTCATAAACAAATGGTACAAATTCAGATTAAAACAAGATATACGTAATTTTTTGATATTTTTTGATATGATAATTCAGATTAAAACAAAATAAAGCGTTTGGGCTCAAATTGCTTAGGGAAAATGTTGCTAGTTTTCGTTCTACATTGTGATTCATTAATATTTTTTTATATTATTTTTAGGGATATATTGAAAACTATTCAACCGATTTAAGTTGAAATTTGGTATATTGCTATTATTTAGTATGCTTATTATGAAAATGATATTAGTTTTAATACTGATACTAGATGGCGCCACCTACTTTAACATTGGTTCATTAATGTGGCCATAATTTTTTTGTCCGCCTTGTATATTCATTCTAGGAAAAAAACATGAAATAACATTCAATTCTACATAAAAAGGTATTCTTGTTTCAAATCAAAAAAGTACACCATTTGAGCTCAAACGCTTTATTTTGATGTCAGCTATCACCCATTAGTTAACATCCAATTAATTATGGGACACCCTTATATTGGGCTTCAAACATCCAATACTTGATTAACGAAAAGGACAGAATGAGTGTCGTACAAGTGAGAAAAGCATGTTTAAGTGAATTAACAGGAACATAACAGGAAGGTATGAAAAATATTGTTATTATCAATTATTGTTTTTAACTGGTAAAACTAGGACGCTTAGCCGGAACATAAAATGTTGACTTATTGAAACCTAAGAATACCTGAGCAACATGCTGACCAGGGGAATTAAAAAAAGCTAGCTGTAGATTAATAGAAGAAAATATCCTATCACTGATTAAAGTAAGCAAAATTGTACCTCTTGACGGTATTGAATACCGCACGTTCCCTTTTGTCCATGTCTAGACGCGAACTTGTCTCCAATTTGTGGAATCCTCACAGATCTCACCCTTATCTTACAGAACTTGTATCCTTCTGAATTTAGCGTTAACATCACTTGATCAACAACTCCAGTTTCACTGTTACGCAAAAATGTTGATGCGTCTCTCTTGGAGTAACGTTTTGTAGTTCCATCCAACTGAAAATTAAAAATAGTGTAAATAAGGTATATGACAACCTTCAATTTTAATAGATTTAAATTATCGGGTAACAATATTAACAGAACGCGCACGTGCTAGAACTCTTTGTCTTTCTATAATTGTTAGAGAACTTGTTTTAGTTACACTGGGCAGAAGAAGCATAGAAAGATGTATATCCTAATGCAAGAATTTAAGACAATGGTACTATTGAGACAATGGTCTCTATTAAGCTGGTTAGAACAGCAGTGTTAGAGTTGAAGATAACCATTAATGAGGCGAAAACGCATCACTTTTTTGTAGAATTTTTTATTGCCAATACGTTATTTTTTTTAATCTTTTCATTTTTTGAGCAACCAGAAGGTATAAGTGTAACTAAATTTAATTTTCTTTTATTTTCAAACTCATTTTTTCTTTACACACAACACAACTTTATTTTTAGTATAGTAATTTTATTAGTAAAACACTTTTGTGGTCAAGTAAATTAAAACTTGATTTTTTTAATCTATTTGTACGTCAAATGTTATAAAAATATAACCAAAAAATTGGTTCGATAACGAACCATTGGCGGAAGTCGACTTCGAAAATCTGTTTGGTCAGGAATTTCAAGATGGCACACCCACAGTTATTTCACAGCGCACACGTGCTATTTCTTTATTATCTTTCTATGTGTTAGAAAGGTATTCTAACATTCAGTTTTGTTATAATCTGGGCTTGGAAGGTTGTGTAATGTTGTAGACAATAAACATGTCGATTTGGAAAAATAACCCTAAAAGGGCCCTAACTTTATTGGAATTAGAAACCGAATTGGAGAATCTCGTTGATATTGATGATGGGGTCGCAGAAATAGCTATAATACCTTCGGACTGTGACGAATTGACAGATGAAGAAATGATTGATGAGGATGTTGTAACAGGTAACCTATTCACTATTTTTTAGTTTCATATCATCTATTATGTGACGTTGTAGGTGACAATGAGATTCTAGAGATTGCCGGTACATTTGAGATTTCTGCCAAAGATACCGTCCTTCTGGAACCTTCCACAAGTAAAGTTGAAGTTGCCGGCTTTGATTCTCCGTAGTAGATTCCTACTACGGAGTCATTCGATGTCGAACCAACAACAAGTAAATCGTATAAAAAACGTAAGATATGTATAGTGATAACTCCAAAATGGTCTACAAAAACTGACCGGACTTTTTCATCAGCACCATAATCACATGAAATTGAAAAAGGGATAGAAATTGAGAACCGTGTCGCCGGAAAAACCCCTACGAAAGTTTCCAGCTCTTCTTCGGTGATGAAGTTTACAACTTTATTGTTAATTTTACTATAAAATATGCTCACGATAATAACTGTCTTTGGGAATTCTCATTCTTACAAGTAATCACACCTTGCCACAAATGAATATGTACTGGAGCAAGGACCAGGATAATAACGTGACATTCATTAGGAACTGCATGAGTAGAAATCAATTTCGGCGTATCAAAAAGTATATTAGCGTAAGTGATAACACGGCGTTACAAAAAAAATGATAAATTTGCAAAACTTCGCCCTTTTTCGACTAATGAATCAAAAATTCCTGCAATTTGGTATTTTCGCATATAATTTATCTATAGACGAAGAAATGGTATCATATTTTGGAAGGCACTCTGCAAAAATGTTTCTATAGGGAAAACCTGTGCGTTTTGGGTATAAGTTATGGTGCCTCTGTTCATCTGATGGATACCTATTCCAGTTTATTCTCTACGGTGGTGCTAGCACAACAAAATCAGATTGAGGCTTGGGTTCTGATGTAGTATTAAAATTACTAAGTGTTGTAGAAACTCCCTCTAATCACAGGGTATTTTTTGACAATTTCTTTTTATCGTATAAGCTGTTCACAATTTTGAAAGAAAAGGGAATTTATGCAACTGTCACAGTGCGTGAAAACTGGATTGAAAAGTGTCCATTGGAAATATCTCAAATTATTGCTAAAAAAGATGGAGGGTCGTTCGACTTCGTTTTTGACAAAGAAGCTGAAGTATCTGTAGTTAGATCGAATGATAACTCAGTCGTAACAGTTATCTCCAATAACTGCCCAGTCCATCCCGTAGGCTTTGCAAAGAGGTACGATGACAAGCAGCAGAAAAAAGTAAATATCGCCATTCCGAATGTTATCCACGAATACAATAGATGTGTGGGCAGCGTTGACTTACATGACAACGGCATTGCGGAAGATGAACAACAAGAAGAATCAAAACAGAATGAAAGTGAAGAAGATGAAAAGTCAAATGTACCGTTGACAATAAACATGGGCAGACCGTCGAAAAATAGTTTACCAGATGAAATCCGAAAAGATAAGATAGGTCATTTAGAGATAAAACATGCAGAAAATGCAAGAAGATGCAGGCAGTGTTCTAATCATACTGTTTTTGTTTGTCAAAAATGCCAAGTCCATTTACACTCTAAATGTTTTGAATTTTTTCACAAAAGATAAATTTGTATATTCAATTTGTTTATCTCAGGTTCGCCAAAGGTTCGAAAACGAACCATTTTTTTGTTGCAACACCTGTCAGCATCACAATTTTTTTACGAATGTTTTTAAGTTTATTTTACCCTAGTTAATAAAATATATTACATATTATTGCAGTATTTCTTTGCTTGGCGATTAATGGGTTAAAGAAGAAGCCTATAACCTAGGCTACAAATTTAGAACCACTTAACCTACCTCGTCATCTGTTTCTGGTAGCGTCATAGTTTTTCCTATAACTACGTCGTCTCCAGACACACGAATTCCGGGAGATATGAGTCCGTCATCGTCTAATTTATCGTAAAGGGCATTCCTCATGCCCTGACACGTTTGTCTTGTTGGTTTTTCGAATTGTTCTTCCTGGTCTCCTATTCGTTTGGATTCGGCGTCTTTGTAAGACCGGTAAAACACAGACCTGAAAAAGATATATTAATACATAAAACCATTATATAAATTATAAAATAATAATATTGTGGCATTAGGTAGTTCCGCATGTCCTAAAACTATATCTATATGCATCTACTATATATCTAAACGGCATTCAAATGTTTTAGGACGCTTAGAATAGAATACTCCTCCCTTTTTCTCTTTTCTCTTACTCATCATCCCTACCCACTTGTCTCTTTCTTTAGGTTATCTTCTTACTACCTTTATTTCTCCTCTCTATCTTATGTATTTTTATTTTCTTTCTCCCGATCTTGTCTTTTTATCTTTCTTGTAATTTGTGTCTTACTCTCCAATTTCTTCTCTATAGCTTTTCTTCACCTTTCTACTATTAACGTTTCTTGTCCCTAATTTGTCTTCTGCATCTTCCTTCTTTTATTTTACTCTAGTTTCTTTGTCTGTATATTTCTTCTTTAGGTCTATATTTCTTCTTTAGGTTTATCGTTAAATAATAAAACCGAATAAGTGGTGCAATTATGCACTATTATGCATATTATAGCGTATTTCAAACATGCGAACACCGTTGATAGATAAGCTTCAACTCTTCTTGAAATTGCCCCCAAACCAAAACTGACCTTATGCCTACAATGCATCCTTTTTCGAAGTCGCTTAAATGACGAAATTGATAAAAAGATGGAGAGATAAAAACTTTATCACATATATATTTTTAGACAATACTTACAAAGAAATACTGTTGATTCAAATAAATGACTGCATACAAAATGTTGCATTTTTTGGCCATCAGTATATAAGCCAGCTGAGGCGGCATTAGATTAGTATTGGGATTTTACGTATCAGTGCGACTTGCTTTGTAAGCAATAATTATTCATGTAATTAGTCATTGAGATATTTGTAATTATGTGAGTTTTTAAGATAAAATAAAGTTAGATAAACCACGTTGTTATTCACTTAATCTCTAAACCCACAGAAAAACGTAACAATGTAAAGGATACTTTAAAAGGTTTACATATGGCGATCTCTTTCCTTCATTATTTGGCTGTTTTTCACTTTTTCTTATTTCTTTTTCTCATCTTATGCTTCAATACATTTATTTTCTTTCTCCGTATTCTACTTCCTTAGCTTTTCATCTTCTTTCTTGTACACAAATGATCTTCCATATGGAAGTGCGGAAAAATCTATGATGCTAGAATATTCTCTACATACTCTTTTTTATCTTTCCTCTCCCAATTCATTTCATGTTTCTTGGTTATTTTTCTCTATTTAAGTCTCTATCTCTTTTTCTTTCTTTTTCACTGTGCTGCCTAATGTTTTTAAACTACATGAGATTGCACTCCTGCAGATAACTTCCTTCTCCTATCAGTCGATCAACTAATAAATGGCTTAGTTGACATCGCAGCAAGCCATAGATCACCACCAATATAATTTTTATTGCAGTATTAAATCTATTTCTATCTGTCCTCCACCTATCGACCAGTTAAAACTCTTAAGATATATTTTAAGTATTGACGAAAAATAGTCTTTAAATATAATGGTGAAACAGAAACAATATTTTAAAGCAGTGTGGTCCAACCTCAGACACGCAGGCCGCATGCGGCCCGAGGCTCGTTGAACTGCGGCCCCCGCAAACACATTTCAAAAAGAATGCCATTAATAACTTTTACCTGTTCCAACCCCATTCCAACCCTGTCAAACTTTCCGTAATCTAAAGAAAGTAGTTTAACCTTGAACATCCACTCTCGATGAGCGGGCAGTTAGCTTCAGTCAGCTGCACGTGTTGTGTTGAATTAACAGTGGCGAATAAATTAAATGTTAAATTCAGAATGAGTAGTGCCAAAAAAACGCAAAATTTTCGAAGAGAATCGTACGTTTCAAGGAAAATGAGAAAATCAATATTCTTCATCGAATTAAAAAGCAAACCTCAGTGCATTATTTGTTGTCAAATACTCGCGGTATCAAAAGAATACAATATTAGTAGGCATTATGACACCCACCATAAAACAAAATACGATAAATATCAATACTCTTGTAAAAGAACGAAAGAACCACGACGCTGAAGTGGAACTGGGCAGGGCACTTAGCCAGAACACAAGATGGACGGTGGACAAGACGTATTATGGAATGGAGGCCCAGAAATTATAAAATAAGCCCAGGACGACCACCGACTAGATGGACCGATGACATTAAACGTGTAGCGGGAAACTGGCTACAAGCGGCCCAGTGTAGAGAACACTGGAAAGAACTGAGGGAGGCCTATGTCCAGCAGTGGACGCGATTGGCTGATTGATGATGAAAAGAACTTAAAGCTAAATTGATAAACAAAAATCTCTATTCACAAAACCCACAGCTGTTCAATCATCAAGCTTAGCAGCATCATATGAAGTATGTTTAGAGCTTGTCAAAAGTAAAAAAGCATTTAGAGATGGAGAAATGATCAAGGGGTGTGCCGTTAAAGTGGCGCGATCCTTTGGAGATGAAAAGATCGCCAAAAGTTTTGAATATGTTTCAGTTTCCAATCAAACTGTATTTAGAAGAGTTTAGGTGAGTGAATACTCTTGTATTTAAAATAAAATGATCGACACACTTCGTGATTGTTTGTAGGTACAGTGGGTGATCAAATTATTATGATCAGTCACAAAAATTTAATTTTTTCATATTTGTTCAGAAATTTTATAATAAAATTATATGCTGATATACGATTAAGGCATGCCAATATATTTTGTCACTGATAACCTTACTTTTTTGACGTTTACCGCTCTAGAACTGTCATTTGTGTCAAATTACGTGACAACATACACATTGTGGTGAATTTACGCTTGGAGTTTACAACTGAATTTGTATGTTTTTGTATTGTTTTTGAAAGGTTAGTATCGTTTTATCTTTGTAGTATGTTTTATTAATTTATTAGTGGTGATTGTGAGTGAAAAAAGAATATCAGTTTTAATTTTAAAGACATTTTCAAAACATTTCGATTTTTGAGAAGAAAATCATAAGGCTAAAGACGTCCCTGTGTCTAAAATGGTGGAAATAAAGACACTTTTATTGAATACAAAGCTTTCCCAACGTCAGATAGCTCAACAATGCCAAGTAGCGCAAGCAACAGTGAGCAATATCAAGAAAAAAATTGAAACCAGCAAACCCCTGATTCACCAGCGTGCCCAAAAATGTGGTCGAAAGCGTGTCACTACACCCAGAAACGAAAGAAAAATGAGGGATATATTCGTAAACAATAGAAAGAAGCCAAGAAGAATCCTCACGGGACTTATTCGTGAAGCTGGTATGCCAGTTTCTGACATGACAGTCCGCAGAAGGCTTACTGAGCAAGGTTTCAAATCATGTCGCCCTGCCAAAAAACCAAAGTTGACCATCGTAATGATGAAAAAAAGACTGGAATGGGCCAAAGAACACCAAAATTGGACAATTGAGGATTGGAATAAGGTAAATTACGTCACTACTAAAGTTTAAATCACTATAACCACTGTTTTTATCCTAAAAAAAAATATCTTATAGTTTTTTTATTCACAGATTTGTTTCTCCGATGAGTCTACAGTGGAGATACTCATGGATAAGTCGGCCTTCGTCCGAAGTCGAGTGGGTGAAAAATATCATAAGGATTGCATAGTGGAGCGAGAAAAGCATCCTCTCAAGATTATGGTATGGTCTGTGATCAGCAGTAAGGGCACAGGGAGGCTGTATATTGTAAATGGAATGATGAATCAACATCAGTATATTGAAGTTCCGGAAAAAAAACTAATGCCACAAATCAAAGACTGGTTTGGCGAATCGGAGGATTTTACCTTTATGCACGATTCAGCACCGTGCCATAAGGCAAAAAGAGTAACATCGTACCTGGAAAAAAAGAAAATTAAAGTACTGAAGTGGCCAGGTAATTCCCCAGACCTCAATCCGATCGAAAATCTATGGGAGCTTATGAAGAGGGGGGTTGCCCAGGAAATTGTCACAAATAAGCAGCAATTAATTGAGAGACTCATTGCCACCTGGCACAGAAACGATAAAATAAAAGAAAACTGCCTGAGAAACATTCAAAGCATGCCAAGGAGGATCAAAGCTGTCATCGAAGCTAAAGGAGGTCACACAAAATATTAAAAAAAAATGTTATTTAAGGTCAAAGAAAAAAATATTTTAAAATTATGTAAAAGAACGTGTTTATGATCTATTTTTATATTATATTCACATTATTAGACACTCATATGTAGTTTTATTCTTTATTAAACAGTAAAATATAAAGTTTTTTGAAGTGATCATAAATTTGATCACCCACTGTACTACTCATTAGCCCTGGACGAATCTGTTAATGTTACTTACAAAAATCAGCTATTAATTTTTGTTAATGCATCAGTGAAGATTTTTGTGTAACTGAAGAAGTTCAAAAACTGCACCACATGGGAGACGGGACCAAATGTAGAAATATATTTGAAGCAGTTAGTGACGCTGTGGAAAATATAGGCGGTTTTCAAAAGTGTTCTTGCGTTTGCACCGACGGAACAAAAACAATGACGGGACGCATAACGGGATTTGCTGGACTTTTGCGGGAAAATGGAGTTAACTGTGTTATGTTTCATTGCATTATCCATCCAGCGGCTCTGTGCGGAAAGATAATTAAAAGCAACGATACTATGAAAACTGTAGTGCAGATAGTAAACAGCTTAAGAGGAGGAAACTGAGCTCAGCGACACCGAAAATTCATCTCTTTAAATACTGAATATAAGGACGTCCCGCTACATTCAGAGATACGCTAGTTGAGTGCAGGTAAATGTCTTAGAATTTTTTTTTCTTTAAGAAAAGAGATCTTACTGTTTTTTGAAACGGAAATTGTTATTAACACGGACGTATTTATAACAAAGCTTAAAAACAAAACATTTCTTTATGAACTGGCATTTCTGACAGACATTACCTCTCACTTGAACACATTAAACCTACAACTCCAGGGGGAAATAGGACAGTATCACAGTTTCTGACAGAAATAAAAAGAGAATTCGATGAAAGGTTTTCGGAATTTGATGCACTAAAACCTGATCTTGAGCTTTTTAACAATCCAATGGGTGTCAACATCCAGAACCAATCAGCAGAATACCAATTAGAGCTGTGCGAACTACAGTCCGATTCTTTTTTCAAGCAAAGAAAAATGAAGACATTAGTACCTTTTGAAAGTTAGTCTCCAAGGATCGTTTTCCTAAACTTCGTAACTTTGCGACGAAACTATATTCAATGTTTGGTAGTACGTATATATGTGAAAGTACATTTTCTGCTTTGAAGCATATTAAATCTAAAACGCGAAATTGCATGGAAAAGGATTATCTTGAAGCGCGTGTTAGACTCACTACGACTAGCATAGATATAGATGTGCAAAAGTTAGTAGAGGATAAACTCTTGCCTCAAATATCCATTAATTTTTTATTTTATGTTAAATTTTAAACACAACATGTAAATTGTAAACCATAATATAATACTTGTAAATATTTCGTTTATATATTATTTTTTAAAATAAACTTTTTTTGAACGAGTCCAGTTCTTTGCCCCTTCATAATAATTTCAAATTTAATACGGCCCGCAACGTCTACAAGGTTGGACCACACTGTTTTAAAGTGTAAGAAAATATTAGCAAAGACTGTCTTGGGTCATTTGTTTATTTTCCAACTTTAATTATTTGTATTGAAAACCCTAAAAGGAAAACATGTTTGTTTCTGCAAATAATACTGCTTTTTTAACAACTCTACCGTACAACCTAATAAGAAGTAACCAAACAGTTATTAGAGACTTCTATTAACATTTTAGAAACAAAAATTTAATATTTTTCATTTAAAAGTGTTCCATTTTACCTGAAAAATCCTCTTTCCACTGCAGAAGCGTTCAAAATAACAGAATCTTCCTGGTTGTATCCAGTATAACAAGCAATCGCAACGATACTATTGATTCCAGCCGGTAATTCTCTGAATCTAAGATACTCCATAGATCTTGTTGTTACCAAAGGTTTATGTGGATAGTAGAGGACGTGGGCCAGTGTGTCCATTCTAACGTGGAAATTTGTAATATATACACCCATGGCTTGTTTACCCATAGCACTTTGATAGGTGTTTCTGGGACTCTGGTTGTGATCTGGGAACGGAATAATGGAAGCGCAAACTCCTAAAATCATAGCTGGATGGATTTCACAATGAGTGTACGTTGTACAATAAGCGCATTCTTTGTCTTGACGTAAATCTTCGGGGTTCATGGCAATCATTACGGTTTCTTCTTCTAACGTGTCTATGTACTCCACCACACCTAAAAACAGATTTTGTGTTACCACGGCAATGAGTTTGAGTTCTTGATAATTTTTGTCAAGTACACCAATGGAATACAAATTATCACAAATTATAACGCAGTGTGAGTAAAACGCTTAAAAAGGTGGTGGTCCAAAAGTATTACGAATTTTTTTATGGTAAAAAGAAGTTATTATCGTTAAATATATGCACTAAAATATTTTTCGCCTAAGAAGACTCTTTGCAATTAAATACTGGTAACTTTATTACTAGCGGACCAGATAAGCGGAGATATATGAAGACTACAGGGGAAAGACGCTGTAAGTAAATTTTTAAAATATTTGGAAAACGCGATTTTTAGATTCAAAACTTCATAATTCATTAATTACTATTTAACTGGAAATAAGCCACAATTAAAGATAAAAATACGTTTATTGACGTTTCAATTTCCAATTCGAAAATCGTTCAAAAAAGAACGATTTCCGAATTGGAAATTGAAACGTCAATAAACGTATTTTTATCTTTAATTGTGGCTTATTCCCAGTTAAATAGTAATTAATTTACAATGCCACAACAAAATAGCTTCAGAACAATATTCATAATTCATAAATACACATGCTAAACCACTATTGTATTGAGTATTTGACAACTTATATATACAGAATATAATACTATAAAATTGAAATTGTCATGTACGATATAAAATTGAAATTGTCTATTGTCATGTAGTAGGTAACGAGAAAAATTTAAAAAAAAAAACAACCAAATGTCTGGAGGAAAAAGGCAAAAACGCCGTAATTGACAAAATAATATAATATGAATTCAACGAAAGAAAAAAATAAGCATAACTAGACTTGTTTAACTTAACTAAAGCTAAAAACATTAATATTATCTGTTAAATAAATCAATAACATTGTAAAATTCTTAAGATAAAAAATAAGTCATGTTTTTTTTAGCTTATCAAAATACATTCTTCATTTTTCTGAACAAATTTTTTTTTAAACTTGGAGATCTTTGTATTGTGCCATTGGAATGGGCAGTTACTCAGTATAGGATCGAGAAGGAAAACGAATTCTTTTCCAGTATACGGTGGTTCCCTACCAGTCACTTTTTTGTTAATGATAGCCGAAACCATTGTTCCATTGTAGGTGTCTCTGAAATAAATTAGTCTGGGATGTTGCTTTGAAATGCTTAATTCTCTTATTGGTCTAGTTTTAAAAGGTGTTTTTGTAACATACATAGGTGCAAGAAAAGTGTCCCAGCTACGCACCAAGTAGTTATCAACCACTTCTACTAGGCACGGGTTTTTGACGAGCCAATCGTAACACTGCTTCCCAATCTTCTGGGGTTTCTGCTGCACTTTTTTGATTAACGATACCAAAATCTTTATCCGTCTCCATCTAAGAATGACCTCTTATAGGAAAGGTCACAGAAATAGAGTCAAATCTGTTTATTTTATGGACTAAATAATGTAGAAACCGGAATACCGCCCAATTTTTATTTTGGCCTCCACACGAATCACAGAAAATCACTAAGTTACGAACTTCAGGAGGAAGCTGGATTGTCACATAGTCATACAGAAATGAGCAAACTTCATTGGCACCCTTTCGAGCTACTGTCTCAGGATACGAGTACATAACATCATTATCACTAAGTCGATGGACATTAAAGGAGTAGAAAGACAATTGCCTTTTATAATACACGTCGTTACTGGTAATATTAGGCATTGGAAGATTTTTATTATAGTCCATGGCTATTACTTCATATTCTCTTGAGATCCTTGCTCGTAGTTTAGCTTTTGTTTTTCGTTTGTAAAATGTCTGTGCTTTCAGAAAGTGAAGTTTAGATTCCCTTATTTTTATTTTGGAAGCATCACAAATGCTGCAAGTGTCGGTTCTGGGATACCCAAAGAAGATATTAAAGCGTGTGTTAAATGTTTTTCTATATACTTCATAGCACACTGCTCTATTAGGATGTTTCTCAAGGAACATTTTGTACATCTTTTTAATGTTAAGTCCCTCTGGAAGGTACTTCCTGCTAGATTTTTTTAGGCTGTAGTGACTCATGCGTCCTTTGAATGATTTTATGTGATTTAAAATTAACTGCATAGTTTCTTCAGACAATTTATTGGGTCTTGAGCCATGTTTACCTCTATTGTCCTTGGCGGTTGTACCAAGTTTTAGGGCTTTTTGTACAGTTTGTAATCTTCTCGTGGATATGCCATGAAGAGCAACAAAAGCTTTTTGACAAACCTGAACGTCTTTTGCAGGTGATATATGCCCCTCATCATTAGTTACCGCAAGGCGAATTCTGTAATAAAAAGAGCCATCTCTTACGTTGCAATTCTTTTCATCTTTTCTTGGCCTTCTTTGAGTTACAGGAAGTATGGATATTAAACCACCCAAATACATACTTTGCTCGTCCCAATTCAGCATAGAATTAAAATTACGAATAATTGTATTTCTTTGTTCAACCGTTATATTTTCAAAACACTGATAACGTTTGCAACGGCAGTCCTCGCCTGTTCCGTGAGTTTGCACTTTTAGCGCTTTAGCTACAACACGTATTCGCCCAAAACTTTTTCGTTTTCTTGTAGTTTTGACTATAAAGCCTCTTCAATTTCGCTGTCGTCACTTTCCATATTAATAAACAATAGTTCAAACTTACCAAACGTTAAAAAACAAACTGTGATTATAATAATATTGATACTTAAATAAACAACTTGTATGAATGCTGAACACTGACTGTGATTTTCAGTTGTAAATTATCCCTACGGACAGGCGCATTGAGCACCTAAATCTGATTTATAGCATTGTTGCCTAGTTTAACCTTGACTTGCAGCGCTCTTCCATTGTACAGCATTATTTTATTCGTTTGTAACGTTTGACTTATTGCACTTTTATTTTGTTTGATATTTGTGGATTGTACTAGGTGTATCCAGGTATCGAAAAATGTATTCCTCAAGAAATCGATAAAAATTGACTTACAGCGTTTTTCCCATGTAGTCTTCATATTTTACAATACCTTTATGAATAACATTTTACTGCTCTGTTGTTTCAATCACCACTGCGCAACAAGTTATCGTTTATTGGTTTTAATATTTTATTGCAATAGTACGAGAACGGAACATTTATTTAAACAGTGAATTTATTACATGTTAATTTTTTATTTTTTATTTTTTCTGACGTAACGTATAATGTAGGTTTACCCAATAATCAAAGTTATGCCTTTACAAGCACATATTTGGAAAATAAGGAGTAAATACCATGTGTCATAATAACTGTAATCTCCTTTATACACACTTTAAAAATTTGTTTAGTAATGTATTTCTTAAATCCACACAATCATTGAAAAATGATTCATGCTGTTTAAAAATATCTTTCTGTTAACGATACTGTCATTCAAACGTCATATTTCTCTTCTGTTTATCGTTAAAAATTAATTGATGGTCGTGGGTTGTATTGGTGTTATTTAATAATTTAACAAAATACATAATCAGCAAAAATCTTATTTGAAACATGTGAACGGTTTTTGCAATCACAATCAATGCAGTGTATGTTTGTTTAGCATTCGCTGTTAAATAATTTGTGTTCGATTGTTTCGTCTGTTGTACAACCCTCGACCTTTTTAGGGTGTAGTAGTTGTATATAAGTACCTATTTTTTATAGTAGTGTAGTGAAGTGGTACTTTAAAGCAAAATGAGTAATTTGGAAGAAAATAAAATACAGTCGAAACGTAGAGTGTTATCTCCAGAAGAACGGCGTTTAGTTCTAAAATTCGAAAGTTATTTCAATTTGGAAAAAAATAATATGGGTCCGTTGACATCTGTTATGACAGTTCAGAAACGCACATGCGATGCTTGCGGTATATCAGAGAGGACATTCCGAAGAATTAATAGTGAGGATGAAATAAATAAAGTAAGCAAGAGAAATCGTTGACATCCAAAAACTTTAGATTTGCACCAGTCAATTAAACTTGCAATTAAAAATAAAGCCAAAAAATATGTAACAGTTAGTGCTGTGTTACAAAAAATAAAAGACAAGGAACTGTATAATATTAGTTTGTGGAGTGCTGAAACATTTAGGTTTTCGGTATAAAAAGACAAATAATAGACAATTATTGTGTGAACTCTCTAACGTTGTTCAAAACGGTGGCATTTTTTAAGAAAATACATATATTAACAATAAAACGTCTAATAGTCCGAGGCAAGTTGTATTTTTAGATGAAACTTGGATTTTCGCTAAGGAAAATACGTCAAAATCATCTTGGCAAGATGGCACCACGAAATGTTATTCTTCTAGTCGCTCCGATAATGTTAAACGCTACATTTTACTTCATGCTGGAAATGATGAGGGTTTTATTCCTGCCGCTAGTTTAATTTTTGCGCCCACAAAGAATACATTATACCACAAACATACATTTACCAAGGAAATATAGATGCAAATATTTTTGAAGAATAGTTTAAAGAAAATTTGTTAAAAAAAATTGGAGTGACCATCCATAATAGTGTTGGATAATGCATCCTACCACTCAAGAGTATAATAGAGATTTCCTTCAAGCAACTGGACAAAAGAAGAAATAAATAAATGGCTCTTAAATGTGGCCATGAAGTTCTTCGACTTCCGCCCTACCATTGCCACTGATGAGTCACACGTTAAAGATATTCTTAAAAATACTACATCAAAGATTATACAAAAAATGTGAATGGGACATCAGTGACTCCCAGTTCGGGTTTAGGCAAGGTTTAGGAACACGAGAAGCAATAGTAGCAACACAGGTATTTGGTCACGCAGTCCAAAATTGTTACGATCAGAAGAAGGATGCGTTTTTATGCTTTTTGGATTACCAAAAAGCGTTTGATCGTGTCCAACACCACAAGTTAATGATCCTCACACAGGTCCTCAAGAAAGTTGATATAGACCAAAAAGACATAAGATACATTGAAAACTTGTACTGGCATCAAACGGCACAGTTAAAAATAGACAATTCTATATCCAAACCCATACATATAAAAAGGGGCGT